ACGGCCGCATGTGGACTCATCTCCTGCTCTAATAGACACAAACGACGGCGAAACGGCACAATAACAACCCAAAAAAGCTGACAATTGTCGAACACACGACTGGCATGGAGAAACTAAACATTCTGATACCACACAAGCGACTTTTAATGCCGGATTGCCGACACTTGCAACTGAGGCCTAGCATGCCAAGCGGCCTATGTGCCAAAGGAGGCGGCCGATCCCCAGACACGGCGTCCGCACCGCATGGCTCTCCAGTCCCCCCGCTAACTCCCCCCATGGACTGGTGAGAGATATCCCGGTCCACGCCTGGGTCCCATAATCACATACCACAAGAGAGTAGCAAGCCGAGCAGAGAAACGCACGAGGTGCCCAAGATGGCCGCCAAGCAACCCTCGCAGCAGACAAACGGGGACCAAGAGCTCCAGCGTTGGAGACTCCAATTTGAGCTCTGGTTTGAGAAAGTATGCCAAGCCTTCTGGAGACGCCTGAAACTCAAACCTCTCTGCCAAGTCACACCTGTCATAGAGCACAAAGCAGCAACGGTGACCCATTCAACCGGCTCTGGGCGAGAGACCCGTGCAAAATGGCACACTCCCAACCATTCCTGCAGCCGGAAGGCTCCACGCACACAGCAGAGCATTGATACCCAGGCGCTCTTTGGCAGATCAAGCAGAAGGAGAGCAAGCCACATATGGCTACACAAAGCGACCTTTCCCCCGTCTAACCCACGCTGACAAGCATCAAGCAGAGGAACATCGCGCTTCAGCCACAAGCAGCACGACAGAAGGCAAAGCGGAGGATCCGCATAGACGCCCACCATGGACGACCTCGCAATGCACAAGGGCCGCAGCCCCACAGGAGAAACACCCTGTCATACCAAACTCTCCCACGGATGACCATCACCCGCAATGGACATCCTGCAGGGGTTCCAAAGAACAGGTCCTCTTCACAACTACACGAGGGACTCTTGTGATGGGAGAAGGGAACTACACCACAGCTGGAGACTGGGGGGGCACAGAGAAACGGGACTCTTGTGAACCAGATTGCAGGGCCAGCTGGCAAGTAGAGGAGGGTATAGGCTAAACGCTACTATAAACATAAGGGAAATGCTAGTAAAGCACAGCAAAGTTTAAATGCTTAATTGTCTCAAGCGTATATAATGTACATTTATGCCGGCACCAGTAGATACCCCCAACAATGCGCAGCATGTTTGATCTAAGGAGGTAATAAGCCAGTTTACTTAAGCTAACTATAATTGTAGGTTCATGCTTTTACTATGTGTGCATTTAAATCTCCAATTCATAGCATGTCATTGACGATGTCTTACTTAACATGTTATACGCCACATCATACATGCTTATAGTTTTGTTCTAACACTCGTTAAACCACGATTAGACTTATATATGACACTATCCCCTGCATTGCCTTTTAGCTTAGCATGTATTGTCTTCCAATCTTACACAATCCTTCCTGTGCCTAGTCAGTGTAGCAGGGCTTCCATATATTACTCATTACAGCCGGCTAACTAGCGATGTTACACTCTTTCATATGTCCTAGACTAATTAGGTAAACCAACAACTAGACTGAATACTATATACAGATATATGAGGCACTATGTCGTCAAGATATTGCTTGACCTGCCCAGCTAAGCTAGGGACACACTCTCATTCATACCTATTGCTATGTTGTAAACTTCTACATAAATAACTTTAAAATGTGCAAGTACTCATGAACACCCCAATGTTAACAATGTTGAAAATCAGCGTGAGGAATGCCGTTGGGGTACCACACGCTTGCTGTTATATTTCTTCACACTGCAAAAAAAAAAAAAGAGTAGTCTACTCTATTGATCATCTCACAACATAAGCCATGATTAAAAAAAGGAATTATCAAAGTGAAAAATGTGAGAATCTAGCACTATGAAAGCAAGAAATGGACACGATCAAGCCTAGAATATGGTCTGCACTTACCAGCCTTTGTTGAATAAAGAAAAGAGTATGATTTACATCCCAGGCTTTTCCTCTTTGTGCTATTTACTAAAAAGATAAATATCAGAAAATAAAAAGGAATTTCAAATTCTGAATTCATAATGGAATCAAGGCATCTCTATGAGGAAGGTTGAGTATTTGCATGCAGAAGGTGGAATCACTGAATGGCAGTGCTGCTCACTGTACAGCACTGCGCCAGGAAGCACCTTTAGCAGCCATCTGAGGAGTGGCCAGTAGAGTTATCCCTAGGCTGTAATGTACAGCAAAAAGCCTGTAGGGAATTGTTATACTCACCAATCAGCTGTAGTTGTTCTGGTGACTATAGTGTCCCTTTAATAATTAATAAATAATGTCTAGCTTTTAGTGCCCTGATAATGCATGCTAGTTTTCAAGAGGCTAATCACCTTTTGCCTAGGGACTAGATTGCCCTTGGCCCGACCCTGTAGCCCTTATAGGAAAAAGGACATTGGATAGAGATCAAGGAATTTGGCCATGGCATATGGCCAGATGATTTCGTAAAATGCACCGAGAGGACATAACAACAAACCAAGCTCTGCTGGCACGTAAGAAACCAACAATTTTTGTATATACTCTATCTCTTTAAATTCAAGCGATACTTTAAGATCCTACAAGGACATCATGAAGTATACCTACAAGAGCCATTCCCTCATCTGTTAATCTTCTGTTTACATTGTGTGTTATTATATTTAGTAAACTGCATTGGCACAGATTTGTTATAGAGTGTCCTTCAAATTTAAAAGCTCATTTTATACCCTTGAACAGATCACTTAACTGGAAGAAAACAGGATTAATGGTTTCCTATTTAATGCCAGAAAACTGTGCTTTAATGTGTGTTTTATACACAATAGGATGTATCTACTACTTGTATTTATAGTAAATATGTTTTTAACACTAATAGAAGCCAAAGAACCTCATCTATACCTAGTATCTCTCATAAAAACAGCCTACACGTACCTTCTGTTCGTGTTCTTCAATAAACAGTGAATTCTATAGAGAATTGTCAAGGGTATTGCAAATGTTAGGACAAATTAGCCACTGGCTGCTCAAACTATTGTAGATATGCCCCCACCCGTGGCACGGTGGGTGGGGCAGAATATAAATATTAAGTTTTTAATTAGATGATGGGGGTTTATATTGAACCCAAATGCCTTTTTTTTTAATTGATAAAGAGAGAATTCAGGAAATTGCAAATTTCAGTTCATATTTTTAAAATCGATGTCCAAATTGTAGGCATCTGCACCCAGATATTTTAACAATCTAGGTCTACATTTTAGCAGTGCAGCAACATAATTCACACACAGTTTTGACTAATTCAGAGCCTGAACTATTTTCACTAGCAGGTAAATAGTTATATACAAGGTGTGTGGCAGCAGCTGTCCAACACTTGCTAGCCAGCCGTTCCCAAAAAAGTGAAAAAAATAAATGAAAAAAAGGGGGATCAATGTGAACCCCATATTGCTATAGGGAAAATATTTATGACTCATTGAGCTGGTGAGGAGATCATAAGAACTCCCTGCTCAAGCCTGAGGGTGCATTGTGGCCATCACTATCGGGTGCAAAGACCACAAAAGTGGTCATGGTGGTAGCAGTATGTATGTGCAATGTTCCATTTTGAGATATATGTTCTTGTGTGCTGCAAGTTTTAATTTAATTTTTTAAGCTTTTCTTCAAAGCAATATATATACAAAATAGTTGTGTTATGATATGTTTAAATGTTAGCCATGCATCCCCTGCTTAAAATAGATGTTATTCTGATATTGTTTCAATCTAATAGTGCTCAGTAGTAGAGAGTTAATGCCAGTCGAATTCCTCTTTTGTTTATTTCTTTAGCCAGCCTTTATTTTTCAAGAGAGAAAAAACTTAGAAAACAACACAATAAAAAAATTCCACATGCTGAATGATGTATAAATAAGATTAGTGAATTAAAGGACATGCAGACAAAATGACCAGACTCAATAAAGTCCCAAAATGGCATTAAAAATGTGCCTTGCAAAAGGTTAAACCTGGGGAGGGGAAGAGTTAGATGTAGCTTTTTAAAAAAAATAAAAAATCTTATGGTAGCATTTTTCTTTCCATAACAAGTATTTCTTTAATTAGTAGTATAATGCTATCATGGTAATATGGTACAAAAATAAAAGCCATGGCTCACTAATGACTTATATCAATGTGTTACTACAAATCTTGATTTCATTATCGATCATCACTGCACAGTTTTGTGGTCGGCTGAGGAGATCAATAGACTGATGATGCTGATAGATCAATGGGGCTTCACCAATTGACATTAAAGTGATTAAAGGCTTTGAAACAAATACTTGTTATCACATCGCAAGGAACCTGTTATTCAATCTGTATAGCAAGACAGATACATAACATATGGCACAAAGATTCTTTTGTACCAGCATTAGAGTTCAGCAAATGACACTGGAATAACTAATTTAAATTAACGTTGAAATGTTGACATATTTTCTTAGTATTTTAGAATGTACCTAAGAGCCACAGAAGTAAGGGTAATCAGGACATATGTTTATTTCTACCATACCAACGGATTTGCACTAAATTAAAGCTTTTTTTTTTTTTTTAAGTTACAATTTTTTTTTTATTATTTTGGTAGATGTTAAAATAAACATAGAAACATAAATATGTAGTCTTAACTGATCTAAACATAATTATCTAGCAAATTTATATAAAAAGAGTCCCATTGTGGGAATTACAGGATCACGTATATTAAATAAATAACTTTAAAATAAGCCACATTTAAAAAAAAATGGGTTCTTTAAATAAATAATCTCCTGATGTCCATAAAAACCATATACCTCCTAAATATTATAGATAAATCTTTTTTGATTGCAAACGTTAATCCCAGTACAGGCCAGGAATGATCAAGTTTTGTTAAAATAAATATGGCATTTGTATGGTACATTATTGCGTACTGCAGTAATTTATACATACCTTTAAAAGTAATGCAACAAAACGTTTAACACTTGGTATCATCGACCTGACCCAATTCTTCTGTAATTCGCTGAGCCACTAAGGCGTCTTGATCTGTGAAAACAAATGGAACCTTGATTATTAGCTTCTTCAATGATCTCTCTCGACATTCAGCGAACATCTTAGTCACAATAGAATTTCCAGTTTTGAACAGGGCTGTAAACTATGATCAAATCTTTCAGGGCTATTTACTAAATTGAGAACGGTTGGGAAATCTACATTTTAACCCCTTAAAGACACAATTTCTGTGAATAAAAGGGAATCATGACGGAATATTTCCGTCATGTGTCCTTAAGGAGTTAAGCCAAAGTAGCCAAACTGAAAGCATGGCTGCACACACAGTTGACATTAGATAACGATGGGCATCCGACTCTCTCAGCCAATCACTGACGCCTTCTCACTGCTCGTACAACTTCTTCTGCTTTAGCCCGAGCTCTAATCAGTTCTTATGTTTTCTCCTTGGCTGGTCCACATGCCCCCTATGCTGACGTTGATGGTTGAACGCGGCTAAATCTAGTTCTTGTAGTTCTAACTACCGACATAACCTTTGTCAAAGTCTTCCTTATTAATAGTTTTGTTTTTTTTGTCTCCTGCCAAATGGAAATCGAGCCATCATAAGCCACTTCCAGTCCTTTGTCTAAATGAAGACAAAGGTCTGGAAGTGGCTTGTGATGCAAGGTGCACTTTTTAATGTCTGATTCCACTTTATATACGCACTTAAGTTGATCAAATTGTTTGTTGTTCCTGTTGAAACAACTTTAGCAAACTTAGCACGAGTCAAATGCAAAAAAAAAAAAAAAGGCAGCAAGGCCTCAGTTTAATACATTTTCCAAATGATTCAGAACTGCTAGAGACACTTTCCAAATGATTTATCTACAAACATAATCCCATAGACTGTAACGGCGACTTCTGTAGATAAATCATTTGGAAAGTAAATAATAATGTCGAAAAAATATTAAATCAAAGCCTAAATCAGAAACAAACTGTAACAGTTAGTCCTGAGAGAAATTAAAATTAGGGCACAACTTCACCGCGTGATGTAGTGGTTATGGTGCCAGTAGTGCCCTGCTGTTCCTCCATGGCTATTAAGTAGTTTAAGAATAATTTGACTTCTTATCTGGGTATCTCGCTTACACTATATCCAACAGAGATGCAAACTCCACCGTAGGAACATCTTTTAGCTCTCCTGAGCTAAGCCCTGCAGCAGAGGGTTAGCACGGTGGCTGAGAAAATCATATGATTGCTCCGAACCAATAAGCTAGTCACTGAACCGCCGCGCTTAGCTCGGACAGAGAGTTTCTAGTCAGATGATGTAGAGGCAGGGAGCTTCTTTAACCAGGTAAGAAGTCAAACTGTTCTTAAAGGTTTTGACTGTTATAATGGTGGCGCACCACGACACTCCTGGTACCGTAACCACTACGGCGTGAGCTTGGAGTGTTCCTTTAATACATTAACATTATAGACTAAATTGTATTTGGAAAGCAAATGAAAGTCAAAAATGTATATACAATTTTGGTAGTGAATGGGTTAAGAAGCAACATAAAAATTGCTCTGTTATATATTATAAAAATTTGCCTTGAAATCTACGATGTCAGTCTGTTGGTATACTGGAAAACATTAACTCCACCCTATGTGATTTTCCAGATTCAATTGTGCAATTAATATTTTTTACTTCCCCTATTGAGGGAACTATTATTCTATAAATAATTCATTGGAATATATGTCTCCACAACACATGTCAAATATATACAAATAGTTTACATTGTGTAACTAAACATAACATTCCCCCGAGAATCATATAAGGGAAGAAAATTACTCTAATCTCTTTTACACATTGTTTCACCACATCCTTGGATTTTATTAATATACTTAATGACTTCAAAATGTGATTTAAAAAATATATAATATAATAATGATACCGTGATTCAAGGACTGCAATAAATCAATTCAATAGAAAACAATGAAACTGAACTTGGTTTGCCTTCCTGACTATCTTCATTATGTTTCCTTTTTTAGGGGTTTTGAATTCTTAAATAAATTCTTAATATCCCACAGGATTAATAAAAATCTTTGAACGTGCTACATAAACATAAGAAGAGTTATATAATATTTAAAAATAAATTATTCTGATTACCATAAGGATGGGGAAAAACAGCCAAACTTTAGAATATTTCACCTTCCTGTAAAGTTATTACTAACCCACTGTTCCTGTGCGTCCATCTTGTCTGGTTTAAACTACATGTCTGTCAGTCCACCCGTTGTACAGCGCTGTGGAATCTGTATAGAAGTCAATAAGATATTTCTTTTTTTTTTGCAGTGCAATAGTCACAACTTTATTTCTTACATGCTTTGCTCTTGAGAAGTAAACGACTCCCACCCTAGTTTGTTTGTTACTAGAGAAAGACACAAGTCGTTGTGATCCTTGATGGTCATGAGCAGATAGCGAGGCAAACGAAGAAAGTGAAATTTCTACAGAATTTGCCATCTCACCGTGGGATTAGGCTTTATGTAGATTATTGCAATGGTGGAAACAGGGTGAATTTTCTACTATCTGTCTATTTCATACATATTTAAGAAAGTGGTGGTGTATTAAAAATCTCTAAATGGCTTGATCATTATCTCTTACTTTAAGTCAATTCTCTATAACAGGGGTAGGCAAACTTTGGCACTCCAGATGTTGTGGACTACATCTCCATTGAGGCTTTGCCAGCATTATGGCTATAAGAGCATTATGAGGGATGTAGTCCAAAACATCTGGAGTGCCAAAGGTTGCTCTACAACATTGTGCAATCCTCTGGACCTGCAACAACATCCTAGCATTTTGCATGACTTGGGGAGATATATGTGACTAAATGTTAGCCATTAGTATTGTTAAAATGCTGATACAATTCTGGAGGTGGGGCTTTGCTGGAGCTCTGGGCCCTGAGGCAATTCTTGGCAATAAAACTACGAATCTACCCACCAAAATTGGGTGATTAAGCTTTAGGGGTTAACCACAGTATCTGCATGGCCAAAAGCTCATATCCCGCATGGATTACTTTAGCAAGGCACTTGCTGCCTACATCGGGCAACACGAGGGTGAGAGACACAGCTGATCTCTCCACTATAATCTGCCCAGTAACATGACGATACAGCACAGACCCCGATTTCCTCACCCCCACCCTGCCGGAGAGGGATATCCTGGCACCACACCACCGAGTTGCCCCATGGACTGCTGGCATTGTCGTGACCCGGGAAACGTTTAAGCGAATACAACGCTGTGTGCCTTGGCCTCACTAAGATGGAGGATGCCACATGTTCCTCCGCTAATGGAGACCTGCCTTGCAATACCCTGCAATGATTCGACAAGCTGCTTGAAGCCTAGCTGGAGATGGCGGATGACAGCACATAATAGAGTGGTAGAGCAACTCCCTGACCTACCTTCGACTCACTACTGGCAACCTGACATGGCCAAACCGCGGACACTCACCTTAACTCTGCATGCTCGACCGAGCGCTCCTCATACCCCGAGCAGAGGTAATCACCAGAGGGTGCCCAACCAGGGAAGGCCCGGATGATGTAGGCCTTCGAAGAAACGAAGCAGCCCAGTTCGAAGCCAGTCTCGCACCACCTGTGGCAACCAAGCTACTGGACACTATACTCATCTGCCGTCGGGTCCTCTTCTGATGAAGACACCGCTGCACTTGTTGGTGAACCGCTACCTACGTCCATCTAAGTGTGATAACCCCTCCACAAGAGAGGTTTTGGCAGGCCAGGTTGCCGACCTGTGGGACAATGCTGAACCCATGCAAGGAATAGGCTAGGAAGGGAGCAATCAACAGGCCTCTTTACCCGATATCCTGTATCAGCAGAATCCATATTGAGACATTGCACCTCAGTCTCTTCGATATGTGTCTTATATAAATTCCTTGCACACTTAGCACATTATGCAGTATTTATGTTTTGGTACTATCTAGCTAGTTTTATACAGTTAAAGGTTTAGCTTAAGTAACCTGTTTAGACATGCCAGCAGAATGTGATTTAGACAGTTTTTCTATAACTGTGCTATAAACATGCTTCACAACATATTTTATTAACTTTATCACCATGCCAAGGTAACTTCCTTACGTGAACCGCAAGCTTAGTGACCTCGTCTGCTCTTGACATGTAACCTATATCTTTCGTTACATACAAAAATTGTGCAGTTATCTCAAATGCCTCTAAACTATCACTATTGTTATGATTTGTCATCTCTGCTTTTGCTGTTGTGGCATTGCAGGATTGTATGATACTCATATGCACATCAAAAATAAGGAATTAAAATAAATATTGCTGGACTACCAAGGATTACAAGAGACAGCTAAGTAGTAGGGGGACGAAACATAGAGGACCACGACACAGAGCTAGCAAGCAGCACACACATTCCATACAGCTAGCACACAAATTGTGCACAGTCAGTACACACCAGATATTGTGCACAGATATTCCACACAGCCAGCAAAAACACAATGCATATACCACAAACGTTTCACACAGCCACCATGCATCAAGGAAGAGATGATGGGGAGGGTGAGATACTCTGAATTGCAAAACTGAGGCAAAAAGTTGTCACTCCAGCTGAACTGGAGAGTGTTTTCAGATCAGCTATTTGGGTTTTTAGCGAAAATTTGGAGTTTAGTGAATAACTTTGTCAATGTCCATGGATCTAAGAAGGGGCCAGTGGCGTACTAAGGGGGGGGGCGGTCCGCCCCGGGTGCCAGCCGGGTGCCAGCCCCGCCGCCCCCCATGCTGCAGCCGCCCGAGCGCTCTGTATTGAGCCTCAGGCGGCTGCAGCTTTGCCCGGGCGGTGCGTCCATGAGGGCGGACCGCACCGCCCGGGCGCAGCCTGAGGAGGGGCTGACAGGAGGGAAGCACTCAGCGCTGAGCGCTCCCTCCTGTCAGCTTCCTTTGCTGTAGCGTGGCCGAGCCCGGCAGCTTTGATAGTCCGACGGGTACAGAGAGCAGCTGTCTCCTGTACCCGGCCGGACTAACAGGAAGTGAACACCGAGTGTGCACTTCCTGTTAGTCCGGCCAGGTACAGGAGACAGCTGCTCTCTGTACCCGGGGACTATACTGGGCTCGGCCACGCTACAGCAAAGGTGGGG